GTCTTATCGTTTGAGCATTTTTTTAGTTTAATTGAACAAAACTTATTATAAGATTTTAATTTTTTGCAGTTGTGAGGAGAAATTTATAGGAGTGTATTGAATTAAGAATATTGTAGATTTTAAAATTCCAATGGTATTCAACCTAGATTTTTTTAGAGTTTATTAAAATTTTTTGTGGTATTAAATTCAGACTCTTATAAAATCAATAAAAATCTGATGGTATTTAATTATAACTTTTTAAAAGTCCATATAAATTTGATGGTATTTAAAAAATTGCTGATTTGGAAGGATTTTATAAAAGTATTAATTTCATTGGATTTTAGAGTGCTACGTATGAATAAAAGAGTCATTCATAAATTCATCCTTTAACCTAAAGATTTTAAAAATCTTTTAAAATTTATCAAAGTTTTAATCCACCCTTTAACAGAGATGTAAGCAGGCGGGTACCTACAAATTTTAAACTAAATATATAGGCATCCGATTTAAAATTTTACTACTCATATCCGTTCTAAACCCGTTTAAATACCAATTTAAGTATCCGTATTCGAATCAGTTTAAATTTTTACTACTCGTATTTATCCAAAATCCGTTTAAAATATCTCTTAAATGAATAAGATACCCGCGAATCTTATCTCAATTCGAACTTATTTAAAAGTACATTTTTTACTAATAATGGACATGGTACCCGTGGTTACCCATTACCGAACCTATTTAATACAGCGGTTAACAGGTAGCAGGTATCCAAAAATCTATATTCATACCCTACTTGTATCCATTACGGATAATAATTTCACTGCACATATCAATTACAAGTAGTAATGTTACTATTTGTATCCGTTTCAAACCCATTTATAAATATCTATATCCTCTTTAAACGGATCGGAGCAAAGCAGGTACCTTAAAATACCCGTACAACTTCCATCTCTATCCCTTAAATTGTAAAACAATGTATTAATTATCGGATTAGTTTCGAATTAATTCATGCGCCGGACTGCCAAGCTCCGTGAGCCGCAAGCGGCGAGCCGTGCATTGGGCCTATGTCAATATGCGCCACCTTCTTGTGTGAGCTCTGGCAGCTGACGCAGGTCCTGACTAGCGATGGTCACTGGTTTTCGATTTCAAATTTATATTTATTTAAATCTGTAATATTTCGATAAGACGGTTACCGTTCAGTCAAGGGACGAGAAGCCTGTAGTCTTTCGACAACATCGCTATTATTCGAGGAGCACATGATGGCCGCCGGCGACGCTGGCCGTTGCAAGTCTTTCACCATCATCGGCAGTCCAGTTTTAATATAGAAAAAAAAATGATTTTAGGGAAGATAACACATTTTACTTTTTAGTCCCTCATTGTTTTTCGATTTTTTAATTAGGATCAACAATATTTTAATTTGTTTAATTAGGTCTTGGAATTAATTTTGATTGGATATATAAAAATCATTATAATTTCATCAAAGTCAATCAAAATCTATAAAAAAAGTTCTATCAATTCCATAAAACTTTATGTAGAATTTTAGTAGAATCTGTAAAAATCTTAGAAAATCCTTCAATTTCGTCACACTCAACGATTCTTTTAAAATCTAACACAATTCTAATTCAATATACCCTTAATAATTATATATTGCAAAGGTCGAGTTGAACAAAAATTATAATGAATATAGTCTAAATGCAATTCCCCTCATCAACTTGGGCCGAAAGGGCCTAACAACAGGCCGGACCATGCCTAGTGCAACGCTTAAGAGGCCAGAAGCAAGCTACTAAAATGGACTCTTCTCCTCTAAAGATCAATTTAATATCATGTTATTAAACTGATAAGAACAGATACCACATTCTGATCCTTCTTGTCAATTCAATATGAAAAATTAATTAATTTAGTTTAATCAGTTTCTTTAATTAATTAATTAATTAATATTTGAACCTTTGATGATAATATTTGTAATCGCATTTTAGTTCGGAAAATACTTGTCTAAATCGGGTTTATGACTAATCACACCAATGAAAAACAGAAGAATGAATTTTTGTTCTTCCTCCATTTATTGTTTCAGCTCTTGCTTTTGATTCTCAGTAATAATCAAGAAATAATTGGAGGGGAAACATAACTCTTTCCTATCAAATAATTACTAATTTACATTCTAAATATATCAAAAATTTATATTACCCCTATATAAAATTAATTTTACTTAATTTGTCACTCTTTTTGTGATTTTTTAAAACTAATAACTAAAAAAATTATATGTTTTTAGATAATTATATATATCCAAACATCTCAAAATATATTATTTACCTTAACCTTTCAAACTTAGTGTCAACTTTATTCATATAATCAAAATTTTACAATTGATGAAAGATTAATGTTTCTTTCTTAATTGAGAGATTGATGAAGAATTAACATAGGCTTAAGTTTGGAAGTGATTGAAAAAAAAATATAAATGTAATAAATCATATTTAATTAACTTTTTGACCAAAAATTAAAATTGTAACTAATTTAAAGAAAACTAGGATAAAAGAATAGTATAATTTAAAAGATTTGTATAAATTTATATTTTTTTTTATTATTATTAGGCTTTTTTCAAAATAAATTCTCTTTGAAATTGAATATAAATTTGAGAATTCCAAACTAAAATATGTCGAGCCATTTCAGTGGATGGTGACATGCATGATAATTATGTGCCAAGTCCAACTTTCTCAAGGGCCAAATTCAAAATGAAGCTATGCTTTTAAATAATGCATGTATAAAAAAGCAAGAAATTCTATAGATAAAACTAAGCAAGAAATTGGATGCTTTCCCAACATTAATAATAAATGAGTGCTAACAAAAGATTGCACCGATCTTCATTGGGATGAAGCGGTTGAAATTCCCTTTTTCATAATCGAAGTTTTAAATATGGAAATTGTCATATTAAGAGAGTCATCTCATATGTAGTTCTTGCTAGGAATGTAAATAAATCGAACCAGCTCGTTTAGTAAACAAGTCAAGCTTAAATTTAATTATATTCAATTCGAAAGCTTATCAAGTTTTGTCGAGCTTATATATACATATACACTATTTTTTTAGGTTTACTCGAATTCAAAGCCTCAAGATTCGAGTCGTCATATTCGAGTTTAAACTTCTTTTAGTTGAATTCGAGCTTTAAGTCTGCAGGTTTGAGTTGGGCTCACCTGTTTACACCTCTAGCTTCTATAATTTTCAAACTGGATCTAGTCAGAAATCCATTGAATTTTCAGATATAAGTGGTTATAGTCAAAAAGTAATAATGATTGTTCCATACTTTATGGACTACCTAAAATGGACTAATCTGCTTAAATTGTACCATTATAGAATATATCAGCTGTATGGATAATAGGAAAGCCAATCATATAAAAATTTAAGTCTCCAATAATTTAATAGAAAAGTTCAAATTTTTTCAAAAAAATTACAACTAATTCCAAATTTCAACATTAATTGCAATCATACTCATTTGTACAGAATTAATCTGAAATCGTGTAATTTATTATACTTTATCATTATTTCTTTTCAATCATTTATTACCAAACTCAATTTTATCATAATTTTTCTTTCTTTCTTTTTTGTTTTTATAACATCACATCAAAATGCAATTTAAACTTGTGTTTCTACTCTTGCGGATAACATCGTTTACCATCTCAACTACACTTTGTTAGTAATTTTGCTTGCAAAAAACTTAAAATAATAATTGTTGATGAAATAATAAAAAGAATTAATTTTTTCAAATTTTGAAATTTTAAAAATATTTTAATTTTTTGTAATTATACCTGAAAAAATGAGAATTTACATACTCTCACTTAAGTTTGTATTAAAGAAGCGAATGGGAAAATAGTGTAGAGGGAAAAATTCCAGAGAGCAAACTGCTACTGCTAAATTATTAAACGCAACATTTTGTAAAAGAGATTTTCGTTGCAAAGCAACTATTTAAGACTCCATTTTCCTATTGATAAAAATAAGTTTTTTCAAAAATAACCTCTATAAAATTACATTACCTTCTAAACTTATTTTACATTAATAAGTTACCTATTTTAATAGAAAACAAATTACCTTAAAAAGACTTTCCTATTGTAATAGGCAACGAGTTGCCATAAAACGACTTTGATGAGGTTAATGAAAGGGTTAGATGGATGAGTTTGGTCTGTCCTCATAATGGAATATTCATTTTAACGGCTGAATGAAATGATTGGAACTCAGTACTTCAAATCGAAGTTTCATCTGCTCCTTCCTTCTTCGGCCGGTTGCGATCAGGAAGGAGCCCAAAATCAGACGTTTTAGAAAATGACAAAAGCTTCCATATATAAATAATATATTATCGAAAAAGCCAAAATAGGCCGGCCAGAAAAATCAGAAAAACCATAAATTCAAACTAACTACCATAAAGGAAATCTGAAACTCAAAAGTACCTACCTTCTCAAGACAAAAACACCATAGACGTGAAAACAAAAGCACATAAATATAGAATCAAACTCATAAATATAAAATTTTAAATAAATTCCACAGGATTTTACGAAATAAGTTCGAGATTCATTAACCAAATAAGGCCTTAACAATGTATCAGCAGTTAGTTCGATACATTAAAGTGGGGGGAAAGAACTATGTGCTATACTCCAACTTATCGATACCATTATTGAATGTGTCACAAACAATCAGCACCGATTAAAACAACAGAACCATGTGTAATACCGACCAAAATTGCAGGCTTACCAGGCTGTCCAGCTTTTCTTTTCTTTTTTCTCCCCAACCTTTGTTTTTTTTTTTTTTTGGTGTTTAATCTTTTTCATCAGCTGGAATTATGTGTTTGCTAAAGGGATAACTGAACTTGCAACATAAGACTACAAATGTTGCAGATAGCTAATGAGGTTTTTGGCAGAAATCAATAAGTGAAATTAGAAAACTACTCTGTTCAATAACAACTGACCTTTAATCCCAAACCATTTAGCGAAACAAGCATGACAATTCTGTTCAAAAAAAAGGGTGAAAAACTACAATATGATATAGGAGAGAAGAAACAAACAAATCCTCAGGATGGATTTTTCTTTTGTCTTCCATAAGAAAAAGGAAAACCGTTGCATATTATGGTGGGAATCATACAAGAATCTGAATATACAGGAGAGGAATTTCAAGATACGTGTACCGCAAGCTAAGTTCCAACACAATACTTGGGTAACTTTACCCATATCATATCCATCTTTCACTGATCAACCATCAAAATATATTCAATCAAGAAATTGAAATCAAAAAACACTGCACAAAACACCCAAATCTGCAGCAGCAAGGAATACAGAAAAAGAATGCTAAAAATCAAGGCAATGTTATAAAATACTCTTGAGGCTCATATAGAATAGCAGCTTTGATTGGATATGGAAGTTTGAATAGCGGTTTTATACTTGTGTACTTGTAAGACATCTCCACTGCCTCATGCGGGGCCCTTTGTCCAGAAGCAATAGCAAACCAACATTGCTTGCCGAAAGTCCACACATATACCTGCATTTCAACATTGGACAATACCAAACATCAGATACACCAAAAAAAACTACAATTAGTAATTCCACAGACATAAAATTCTTCATCTTGTTTTTAAGGCCAATAAACTGATGCATCTAAAATCTCAATATTGTGCATCTCTCCCAGCCTCTCAGAAGATTATTTACAGTTTTGCTACTGCCAAATTATATGCAGTTCCTTTAAAAATACAAATAGCACTCAAGAATTATAGAGATTAGACCCTTTCCAAATTTTCTGGATTTTTCAACTATTGGTTCCTGTAATCCATCCATATCTACTGTTTATTTTTCTCCCTTTATTTCTCGCATCAAGAGTAGGTGCAAATGTATTTTCTCCTAGTTTTGAATATATCTTATCATCGTACAGAATAAACTGCCTATGTGATGGCATGAGTGTATTAATCGAAGAAACTAAATCATGTCAGTTATTTTATGTGTATATTAGTGAACTCACTTGCTTCGGCGAGCTCTCTTTCTCCAGAAAAGGAAGGACGCAATCCACTGAGCACACAAAATGGAAGGCAAGAAAGTTTAGAGATAATGCAAGAAACAATTGCAGCAGGGTGTTTATAAAATAGCTTCCATACTTCAACACTAAAGTTTATGATTCTTCCAGCAATGAAAGATAAGTTTGAGATACAACCCAGCAAAGCAGGAGTTGATTAAGTAATAAACTGTAGCTGAAAACCATGATATGGCTGAATGAAAAGAAAGATAAAAAGAAATGGAAAAGATAAGAACAATCTGATAAACACAATACACATAGCTAGATGAGAATTTGAAATAGCTATGGAGATCACCGAGTTGAAACAGAGTTCTAAAGATAACATAGAGAATCTTCATTCATATGCATAGTGTTCAAAATTACCTTAAAAACTGACATGAAAGAAAAGGTTCCAAGCAGGGTTGGCTTCTGTACAGTAATTCGTCTTTCTGGCGACATTTCCTTGCACAAATGTTGGGCTATTTCTTTCAACAGCACCATTTGTGCTTTATCAGTCCGCATTGAAATAATTGCCTGCCTCATAGATTCCCTGTCAGCCTCAAGCGCCTGAAGCCTTGTATAAAGCTTTTTGATTTCAGGATCATTATCATCAGGCCGATTCAATGCATCCCTTGGAGTGGAAATATAATCTTCGCAAATACCAACTCCAGGTTTTGGTTCTGCAACACCATTATATGGTACCCCATTATGGACAGAATCAATGGTATAAACTCTGTCACTCATGTCATCTCCAAAATCTGATGCATTATCCACCTTTCTCAAATTTGAGTAGTCATCTGATTGCGAAACATAATCCATCTTCTTGAAGCTATTGTTGAAATCCATCTTCTTAAAGCTATTGTTGAATTCCATCTTCTTAAAGCTATTGTTGAACTTGAAACTAGGAGATTCTGTGGCAAGATCTGGACCTGCTTCCCTTGGCATCCCCATGAATGAACTTGAACTATCCCCAGAAAGCATCCTATTATGTTTTGGCCGCCTGGGAGAGTGGCCAACTATCACCTTCTCTAGAATATTCTTCGCACCAGAAAATTCCCCATCTGGTTGACTGCTGCTAGAACTTTTCTCCATCTGATTGATTCTATATTCCAAATTCTTCAAATGGTCCCGACCACGAGGAGTCTCACCAAAAGCATATTTCTCAACGTCCACAATGTCATCCTCACCCTCCAAAGCACTCTGGTTCTCATTCAAATTGCATTTCAGGGGTGGGTAATCATATGGAAATTGAAACTGAAATTGGGCAGCATCCAAATTTTCTGTTATACTTGGATTACGGCTAATCCCACTTTTTTCACCCTTCTCCCCATCTGCCTCTGCCTCTGTAAGCCCAAAACTCATCATCCTATGCTTATAAGCCTGAACCTCACAAGTAAGTGATTGAATGGCCTGTTCTCTTTTATACAATAAATCCTCCAAAGCTAAAAGCTCCTGCTGGTCATGTGACATCTTCTCCTCTGCAAAACGCTTAAACTGCCGAGCTTCCATTTGTATCTCTGCCTTTTCCCTTTGCAACCTCAATATCATTGACATAGCCTCATTTGCTGCCGTGGAAGAGGCATTTCTCTCCTCTTCCAATTCAACATATAAATCCTGTATTGCTTTCTGTTGGCTACTAACTGTTTCACGTAGTGCAGCACATTCATTCTCAATTTGCACACGAGGATTTGAAAACAGATCAAATCCTGGTATAATGAGTCGTTTTCCCTCTTCAAACTCATCATATTTCCGTTTCACAGACCTGAACCAATTGCCTGAGGAGGAAGAGGTTACCAACGAACAAGTACACCCACAATTACAACATTTCACCGAGTCCCTTGACCGTGATGGCGAAGACGTAGGTGAGGATACTCCCAAATCCATAAAGCAATAACATCCAAATTCAAGGTGATTGAAGATCAATTCACAATACTCTCACTATATTAAACATGAAAAGAATAATAAACAATCTAAATGTAAGTGTAAGCTGATACGTCTTATCTTTGGAACTCTCTACGTTGATTTTATAGATCTTTGACAATTAGTTTCCTCCCTCGATTCCAATTACCAGCTAATTTTCCTCTGAGATCAGTTAATCACATGCAAAACACCTAAGGAAGAAAGAAAAAGTAGGAAATTAAACCCTAAACCAAAACAAATACCTTTAAAAAACATTCGCTTTGCGTTAATGTATAAATGTTTCCAGCTGAAAGCTTTCACGAGGAAATATATAATTGCATCTCAACAACTAAAAAGCAATAATTTTTTCACCAAGGCGCATTTATAACAAGAATAACGGAAAAGTTGAGCTTCGAGGTGGGGGGTGGGGGCGAATTCTTCCGAGAAAATCTCTCCAACAAGATTTCCATTCAAAAAAACAAAATCACCGGAGACATTGAGAAAGAGAGAGAGAGAGAGAGAGAGAGAGAGAGAGAGACCTGTGAAAAGCCTGATTCAGAGAAGAATCCCGTGGAAGGTGAATTTGGCGGAAGATGAATTTGGAGGTGAAATTTTCCCGGGAAAATGAACTTCCCGGAGAAAACGTGAGAGAAATTTTGAGATCACCGAAGCCACAGACAGAGATGGACCTGTAAAACTTTCTCCAACTTTTTCCGGGAAAAATGAAAAAGAAACAGCAGGAATGGCGTTTGGAGGGAAAGAAAACCCAAAGGAGAGAGAAGAGGGATTTGGGAACCCTAACTTTTTTTTTTAATTTTGATTGAGAAACAGTTTTTTTTTTATTGTTCTTCTCGATTTTCGTGTGAAAAGAGAGAGTACGACAAGTTCATTTTTTGGGGAAAAAGAAAGGCAAGGACACAGCGGGTGACTAGTAGTGATTAACGATCCAGATTAGTTGGAACAGAGTTTAACACCTAATAAGTGCTGTGTACTGCCTTTTTTTTTCTTTAGCTAAATTATTGATTTTTTTTTTTTTTTGGGACTGATTAGTGGAAAAGAAAAAGGAAATACACAGTAAAATTATTCGACAGCGCTGAGGTGGCAGGGACGAGTAAATTTCGGTTAAAATTGAAAAACTGATCGCACCAATTTAATTGGTTTTTGATTTAATTATTTAGATATTTAGTGTAGTTTCGCTTTAAAATTTTTTTAAATAATTTTTGTTTTGATTTTTGATTCAGTTATGTAATATATGTGTTTTCGCTCAACACCAATCAAAATTAATTGAATCGATCGAAATCAAATCGAATTGAAGAGTTTTGGTTCAATTTTAAAATGAATTTTGGTGTGGTTTATGGTTAGGTTCAATTCAAAATCGAACCATTACTTGCTTTGTCTACCTCTCTAAATAAACTAGTGAACGTACGTGCCTATTTGCAAATATTCTTTCTATAATTATTTTAAAGAATATTAAACAAATTTTTTAGGCGTGACTGGTCAAAAAAGAAAAACTGATGCACTTTGCTGTTCCAGTCATTCAAAACATGCAGGCATGAAATGCTTTTCTTCTTCTTTTTTTTTTTTTCTTCTTTTTTCTTTTTAGGTTATTCATGTTTATAATTTTTTTACATTAAAATTAGAGAATTTATGGGTGTGTTCACTTGTAAAAAATTAGAGTAATTTTTTATAAAAATTTTTTATTTGAAAAACTAGAAAATAGTTTTCCAGTTTTCTATAATTTAACTAAGATTTGAAAAATAGCTTTAAGTTGTTTTTCAGAGTTTACCTTTATAACAAAAGACATGTTTTTTCCACTGTTTTCTTTTTTTTTTTTAATGACATTTTCATAATTAAAATTATAATATCTATAAGTTTTCATAATAAAATTAAATACTATCAAATATTTTTTCTTTTAAAATTATAATATCTATAAATATTTTTTTTTTCTATAAAATATTTTCATTTGAAAAAATAAAAATATTTAAGTAAAATAAAATTTTATATTATGCTTTAATAAATAATTAATTTTATTATTACAAATATATTATATCTTTTATTTTTTAAAAATCTTACAAAATAATATTATTAGTATAAATAACCAATAGTAAAAATTCATAAACTTTCACATACAAAATTTCTAAATTTATTTTATAATATTTTATTTCTTTTAATTATAAAAGCTACGAATAATATTTGTGAAATTAAATTAAAATATAATTTTTTATTATTATCAAGTTAACGCATTTTTCATTTTCTGTTTTCTAGTTTTCATTTACTAGGAAAACTGTTTTTTTGTAAGTAAATGCACCCTATAATTTTTTAAAAATTATTTTTACATATGCTTTTCTAAAAAAGATAGCTTTAAAATGAAAATTAATAATGTGGTGAATACTTAAATATATCACGATACATTGACTTCTAAATCAAACAAATTAAAAGAAGTTGTACGTTCTAAAAAACTAGAATAAAGCATAAGATAATAAATGAATCGGAGTGCATAAAACAATAAATGTAAAGGAACTTGTAATGAAATTTAAAAAAAAAAAAGAAATAATAAGATTGCAATACTAGAGGCTGTCAAGCCTCAAAATATCAATAATATAATTAAAGGTGAAAATAAAGATTCTACCAATATGATAAAGAATGAGTTGCCTTCGTTAAATTATGAGCTCCATCATTCACAGATCAACAATTTATAATGAGAAAATCAAACGAAGAAGAAACCCTATTAAAAAAGACAAATGAGAATTGAATTAAAATTTATAATAGAAATTGAAATTAGAATTTATTTTATATGCGACCTGCTAAAATAGAATTTGTTGCTGCATGTAAAGCTTAGAGACGACAGTTGCAGCTATTGTTAACTCTTTTTTGCTATATTACTTTTATGAAGAGCTCCTCCATCGGGTGGCTAAGAAATATCAGTTCGGGAAGTTCTACTTTTAAAAAATAAATAATAGAAATTGAAACGGTTGACTGGAGTTTGGAGTTTGGAGTTTGGAGTTTGGTGCTGCTGTTGATAAATTTGGTCTTAAATTAATTCGATTTCGATTTAAAATTGAATCGTGGTCGTGTGTACTATTATTATAACAACCAATACAAGCAAAATGAATCAAATGGCAAGTTGTTGGTATTTAATTTTAATGAATTCATTGCCTAATTTTAACAATGATAATAACGTCACCTTTAAATAATTAACTCAAATTGGAAAAATATTTCAGCTTTTTATTTACAAATTTAGAAAGATAATTAAGAGTTTTAATTTTTAAATTTGGAAATGTAATTAAGAGAAAAAAAAGGGTGTTATAAAATAATAATGACATGTAATTTCACTTCTCTAAAAAGTATGAGATAACGATAGCTTTTTAAGTCGCTATTAGTTTTTTAACTGATCAAAACACTAAACCTTATTTTTTATAGTTTTCGGTAACATAACATTTGAACTAGCTTATAGATATTAAGATAGCGTTCTATAAAAAATTAACTCATGTAAACGTGTTTAGCTTTTACTATTTTATGAAAAAATACTCAAATAGCTAACAGTTGCCAAAACAGCTAGTTTTGCCGAATAAACTCAACATGTATCCCATTTTCATATATATAATCAACATAGTGTGTCTTAAAGTAGGATGAAAAATGTTAATTGGTGGTCTGGTCGTCTTGTTACTTATATAAGGATTGACACGTCTCAAGTTCGAATCTTTTTAACTCCAATAGTTTTTAATAATTTGGTAAGTCAACGTCTCATCAAAGATAGAAAATAAAAGCTTGTTTAGCTGAATAATGACTTTATCACGAGAAAGGAAAGTTGCAATATATAAATGATTGTTTGTTAATAAGTATTTTCAGAGAAAACACACGTGAAAATAAAGAACAAGCATTTTTTAAAAAATGACTTATCTTATTTTTTATTTATTAGTTTTAAATTATGTTATCACTAAAAAAATAATTTTTAAGTATCCAGATCAAGTAAGAAAATATACTTCTTAGATGCATTTAAAACATAAATTTACACATACATAATTTGATTTAAAAATATAATCCTTTTAAGTACATAAGCTTAGGAACTTAGAAGTAATTCATTTATATTAAATTCTAAAAATAGAAATTAACAGTTTATTAATATGAATAATTAATAAGTGAATAAATAAGTCCGTGAATGATTTAAGTTAATTCGTAAATATAATATTTAAACTATATGTATGAATGTATATTTACTTATTTGACATTTTAAAATTTTAAGAATACAAATTAAATTGTATTAGGTACATATCCACTTAGACATAAATGTTTAAACATGAGCACTTTTATCAATATTAAAACAAAAGGTTTTAAAATATTCTATGTACTCTTTCATTTGAACTTAAATGAAAAAGAGCAAAAATGTTGTTTCACAATGATGAGATTGCACTTTGAACTTTCATTAATTTCAGAAAAATGTTTTATATATATATAATTTTTTTTTCCTTTTCATTTTCTCTCTTCTCCAAACATAGCATAAAGAAAGTTATTTATATTTTCAGATATTATCTAACTTTTTGTAATTTTGGCAGCAGAAGGGCAGAAGTTTCTTTTCATTTTCAATCTTTGGTTATTTATATTTAGGGGTGGCCACGGTTCCGGAACCGGCGGTTCCGGTTCCGGAACAGCCGGTTCCGGTTCCAAAAAAACTGGAACCCGGTTCGGAACAGCCGGTTCCGGTCAAAAGATAACTGAACGGAACCGAACCGAAAAGTTCCGGTTCCAGGTTCCGGTTTGGAACGAACTGGTTTTACCGGTCCGGTTCCGGGTTCCGGTCCGGTGAACAAAACCGCGGTCTTCCGATCGATTTTCCCGGCGAATCGCATAAGTCAATTTTATAATTTGTTAAATTTTGGAAGACCGGTTTTCAAAATTTAGCTAATTTGTGAAATGTTATCTAAACCTACTTTTTCACCAAAACTAAAAGATAAATGTTCCATAGAAATCATTTTTGCTAATTCTTCTTTTTGTATTTTTTCAGAATATATAAATAAAGAAGGTTAGAAGCGTACCCGAAAATTTGCATGGTAAGAATATAGAGTAGAGTAGAGAAGAATAAATGATTAATATAGAGTAGAGTGTAGTATATGGTAGAGAGAGTAAGTAGAGAGTGTAGTATATTGTAGAGAGAGTTGAGATGTTTTTGTAATGAATTTGTAAATAAAATGAGGTATTTATAATAAATCCAAAAATTCATTTTTCTAAAAATACCCTTGAAACTAGCCGTTATGTAGCCGTTTTATAAGCTGTTGGTCTGTAGGGGTTAAGTAAAAAAATTTCTACAACAAAATTTGTTAAAAAAAAAAAACACAACGTTCACTACAATAATTATAAGGAAATAGCTGTATTTATTTTTTATTTATTTTCTGTTGTCCCTTGTAGGACCGTAGGGGTTTATTAAGTTTATTTTGTGTCAGAAGGTGGGTGTCAGAGAGTGGTGGGTTTCTTCTTGCTCATAAAAGGAGCTTTTTTTTTATTTTTAATTTTTTTTTTGGTTGTGTGACAAGTTTAATAATCGGCTAGAACCGCCGTTCGAACGGTTCGAACCGGGGTTCACGTCCGGAGAACGGCGGTTCCCAACACGGCTTCGCCGGTTTTTCTGGACAACCGCCGGTTACTGGTTTCCAGAAAATTCCTGGAACCTGGAACGAATCCGGAAATTCTCCGGTTCCGTTCCGGTTTTCGGCCCGTTCTCCGGTTCTCTACCGTTCCGGTTACGGTTCGGGACGGTTCGATACGACTGGTGATTCCCCGAAACCGTCATTTGTCCACCCCTATCCGGTTCCGGTTTGGCCCGGTTCCGGTTCTCACCGGTTCCGGTTACGGTTCGGGACCGGTTCGAACCGACGGTTCCGGTTCCCCGAACCGTAATTTGGCCACCCCTATTTATATTGACTGCTTATGTTCGTGATTATGGCGGCTCTGGCTTATTTTATTTCAGTCAAGGATACTGTAAAAAAATTAAAAGAATAAAAGCGTGTGTGTATTGCGAACGTGAAAAATACAAAAAGAGATGTTGGAGTCAGTGAAGTGAGGTCAGGCCCGCCCACTGGTCAACTAAGCTTCTTCACGGGTTAGTTATAGGATGCGGAGTACGTTGCGGCTAAATGACCTCTTTGAACGGCGCCATATAAGAAAGACATGTTTAACCAGTGAATATCCGCCAAACCGAATAGATCCCGTTTGATAATAATTTTTAAATAATTTTTAGCGTTAATCTTTTTTACAGTATTTGATATTTTTGTGTTTGATTTAATTTTTAGATATTAAAATAATATTTTATAAAAAATTAATTCATATAATATTTATTTTTTATTTTTTTATGAAAAAATATTAAAACCTAACAATTAAATACTGTGAAAACAACTAACAACAATAAGATAACTGACTTTGCCTAATAGAGTTTTGGTTTCTTCTTAATCGAATTACTAAAAGACAACTGAATAAGAGTCTTGGATTACGACGGTTACTTGGAGGGATATATATGTCAAACTATTTACCAACTTCCAATGGCACATTGTCAAGTTAGGTTTTCCTCAAAATAGTGTTTGAAGGAAAAGTAATTACAGAAGAAGTGCCTTTCTGACATTTCAAAAGTATTTGTTCCACTGTGGCAGTAATAAAGGCAATTGATTTAATTTTTTTAATGCCAACAGCTTTTTCTGAATAACTAAAGAAACTAAAAATTTGCGATCCAAACCCAACTGAACTCAAATGGAACTAAATTAGACTATAAATAGTTTGAGAAGAGAGAAAAAATCTCATTTGCTTCTTTTTCTCCCATTTCGTTTGTGTCGTGCAATGGATGAAGGCTTACTGTCTCTCCTTTTCCGATCGAACTTCGACAACAATTTAATAAAAATAAGACGGCCAAACACTCATCTAGTTACAACATGCATATTTTCAATCATTTGGTCAATTGAGTTCCTATTTTTCGACTAAGAAATTTAAATTTTGTTGTTTTTTAGTTTTTCGGTTGGGTTTTGTGAATCCAACTACAATCTTTGTTGAGATAAGATTGAAATCAAAATTTTCTATGAAATAAACTTAATTTTTTGTTGATTAAGAATTTAGTAGAACCATTTTGTAAATTGAAATTGACTTTTAATAAAATCAATAAAATTTCTAAAAAATTGATAATTGATGGAGTTTTAATCATTTTAATGTATGGGGGACAAGTTTTTAAGAAGTAATTCATTTAAAATACTATGACCTTTGCGTTTTGTATCAATTACACTCCATTTTAATATTAATGCCCGGACACCCAATTTTAAATTTTTATAATTATTGTACTCTAATTTAAAATCAGCGTCTAAAAAATCAATAAACAATACAAATATGGGCCTCACACACTAACACAAGGGTTAAATTGATCAAACTCTTAACTCAACTCAAAACGCACCGGATTGAACCGAACTCTCAAAATTCCTAAACCTAACTTCTCTTTCTTCTCTGTAATTGCTGCAACAACAACGGCGATAAAGCTGAGCGGGAGATGGTCCTGAGCTCAACCAAATGAAGAATTATTTTTTTTTGTATGCCTTGGCCTGACGAACTTGCTACTGGTTATAGGTGATTTTAAATGACCCATTCCTTAGCTAACGAGTTGAAGATAGCAACTTTTCTACTGTGCGCCTTAGGGATGAGTTTCTGGAAAATGTCCACCTATTTATCTTTGAAACTTATTGCTGTATACATCAACGTATTGACATGGGGTAAGTGCGGACTATAGACTTGATTTGTTGTTGTTGCAGGCTTGCAGCAATTATAAAGAAGAAAGAGAAGTTAGGTTTTGAGATTTTGAGAATTTGGAGCTTTGATTGAACGAACGTTAAAGGGGAAGGGAAGGTTTTCAATCCGGTGCGTTTTGACTGGAGTTAGATGATGGGTTAACTTAACCTTTGTGTCAATGGGCCGTATTTGTATTGTTTATTAATTTTTTAGCACTAATTTTAAATTAGGGTATAATAATTACAAAAGTTTCGAATTGCTGTGTCCAGAGAATTAAGGTGAAGACGAGATGTAATTCATATAAAACGCAAATATCAAGATATTTTAAATGAATTACTCGTTTCTAAGTTGGTTGAATTTATCGGTAACCGTAGGAGGCCTGCCGCAGTACATTAATTTTTCCTCGATTGATTCTAAATCTAAACCTTCACCGTGACATCACCAACAATAAAAGTGCATTTGAATTCCAACCATGACATCACAGGTGGTAAAACTGCTTAAACTTGTTTAAATGGCATTATAGACTCCTCATCCTCTTTGTATACTTGACGTGTCTGGCATAAGTCGCGACAAAAGTCTTATTTGATTAAGGTTTTATTTATTTTTATAAAATAATTTACAGAAAAATATTATTTATAATTTTACTTTATTTGGAACATTCGAAAAATAAGTCAATGATTTTTTTTAGTAAAAAAACTAGGTCATTTATTAAAGAAAATGATTTTTTGATTTTAAGTGAGAAAATATTTTCCGAATATTAACAGATTTATTATAATCTTATAAATATATATTTTTTAATTTATAATATTAGCCACTATTATTAACGTACCATTTATCACTATCAGTCACCGTTAGCCACTGATACTGGTCACCAATAACTTTTATAATTTATTTTTTTTTGAATTTCTCATATTTTAACAATAAAATTTTGAAAATATTTAATTTTTATTATTATAAATATTTTTATGGTTTTATGAATTCAAAATTTTAATAATTTTTAACTCATTTTCAATGTTGTTACAAAATCGGAGTAATTTAAAAAATATTTTCTGTTTAAACTGAATTATTTTTTGAATACATTAATCATAACAATTCATGTATTTTGCTGTATAAAGTTTTCATTAGACGTATCTGTGGAGATGAAACTACTTGTATTTGGACTTAAAAGCCTGATGAAACTTCATTGTTGCCTAAATAGGTTTCCTTAGATGGGTTGTTGGATCTTATATGCAATAATGTAGTTCTTTCTTATTTGAATTACTAAAAGGCCCCTGAACAAGAGTCTATGCGGTTACTTGGAGGGATGTATCCGTCAAACCATATTTCAACGGCACATTTTCCAAGAATGAACCGTTTAAACCTATTCAAAAATTACAAATTCTCTAATTCTCTCTGAAATAATCTTTCAAGCCAAAGTAAAACAGAAAAAGAAGAGAACGAATCGACAAATTTTTTTGGTTTCTTGCAGGGATTATTTTAATTTCTCGAAAAAGAAAAGGACGCTCCTCTTCAATCTCTGCGAAAGCCCCGCAATATTATATAATCAATCACCAATCTGCTCCACTTCTCTTTCTAATTTCGTTTCTTGTTCTTGTTCTTGTTTTTCTTTTCAATTATAGTTTTTGTTAAGTGGATCTTATTATTTTCTTTTTCCAGGTTTAATTTCTTGTGCGTAATGGATTCAGGATTCATGCATTCTTCTAACAAGATTCATTCTCGAAGTCCTCTTCAAGAGCGATTTCTGCGCAGGAAAAAATCCAAAGAAAATGTGAGTGAATTCTAAATTATGTTTGAAATATATGCATATATGACGAATTTTGGGTTCTTGATTTTGATTTAATTACTCTTTTTTCTGCTTTGAAAATTCAAGATTTAGAAAATTTTTTTATATAATTTTCTGATTTAATTTCGTTTTTATTCGAACAGTGGGATAGATTTATACCAAATCGCTCAGCAATGGATCTCGATTATGCACATTACATGTTAACAGAAGGCAGAAAAGATAAGGAGAACCCAACTGATTGGAATTCACCGTCGAGAGAAGCATACCAGAAGAAACTAGCTGACACCTTCAATATGAATCGGACTCGAATTTTGGCCTTCAAGAACAAACCGCCTGCTGCTATAGACCCAATTCCACAAGAGTTCTTTTCATCATCAGCATCTTCTTCTCCTTTTCATCAGCATAAAACTGTAAAATCGCGTCGCTACATTCCTCAGGTATTTTTTTTTGCTAATAATTTTGTAATTGGAACAACTTTTGAAGATTTTTAAAATGCGGTCACTAATTGCCAAAATTAAGGATGAACTGGAACCATTAAAACTGTTGAGTGCAAATGAATGAATAATTCTTGAAATTGAATCTTAAGTTGTATTTCTATAAATGATATAAGTAAGAAAATCAAAATTGGATATGTAACCAATCAACGTTGGTTATTTGGAAAGAAAAAATGATATTCTTAATTTCATTAATAACAATAATTATGAGTGTAGGTAATTTTAGAACATAATTTTTTTTTACTACCAGCATTACCATGATTCTTTTGCTAATTGACTCTAGCAATTTTGTGCCTAATTTTCCTTGAATATGGTTACTCACAGAATTCAGAGAGGACACTGGATGCACCAGACCTAGTAGATGATTTCTACTTGAATTTGTTAGATTGGGGTAGTAATAATGTGCTTGCAATTGCTCTTGGAGACACAGTATATCTTTGGGATGCTTCAAATAGTTCTACTTCGGAACTTGTTACTGTTAATAGTGAAGATGGTCCTGTTAGTAGCATTAGCTGGGCTCCAGATGGACAACACATTGCTGTAGGCTTAAACAATTCAGATGTTCAGATATGGGACTGCAGTACTAATCGACGGGTATATACATTTTCTTCCAATTTTGCAACTTATGTGACTTGTGGTATCATAGGATTACATCATTAATTGATTTTTTTTTATGTGACATGTTATAATGTGATAATCTGTGCAGCTAAGAACACTAAAAGGCGGCCATCGATTGCGAGTAAATTCACTTGCCTGGAATAATCATATTCTTACTACTGGAGGAATGGATGCAAGAATTATCAATAATGATGTGAGAGTAAGAGAACATGTTGTTGAAACATACAGAGGACACCAGCAAGAAGTTTGTGGACTAAAATGGTCAGGTTCAGGGCAGCAGTTAGCTAGTGGAGGGAATGATAACCTTCTTTTCATTTGGGATAGATCGATGGCCTCTTCAAATTCACCATCGCAGCAATGGCTTCATAGGCTTGAAGAACATACAGCTGCAGTTAAGGCACTTGCTTGGTGTCCATTTCAAAGCAATTTGCTTGCTTCTGGTGGAGGTGGAGATGATAGGTGTATTAAGTTTTGGAATGCCCATACTGGTTCTTGCTTGAATTCCATTGATACTGGTTCACAAGTTTGTGCTTTGCTGTGGAATAAGCACGAGCGTGAATTACTTAGCTCTCATGGGTTCACTGAGAATCAGCTTACTCTTTGGAAATATCCATCAATGGTAAAGATGGCTGAGCTCACTGGTCATACATCTAGAGTCCTCTTTTTGGCACAGGTAAATTAATAAACAAAATCTTGTTCTCCTTTTTTTTTTTTTTTTGTGAATAGTAGACTGATGTGATCTATTTTGTCATTGTTCTACGCAGAGTCCAGATGGATGCACAGTGGCATCTGCTGCTGGGGATGAGACCCTGCGATTTTGGAATATTTTTGGTACCCCACAAGTGACTAAATCTGCACCTAAACCAAATGCTGGGCCATTTGCAATTGTGTCTCGCATTCGTTGATTTCAAAAAATGGCAGAATTTCTGGTAAGTGTTGTCATTCATGTTTTTTTTTTCTCTTTCTATTTTCTTTTCTTTTCTTTTTTGTTTTGTTCTGTTTTTATTTTTTTCCTTTTGTCTTGGTCTAGTTTCCATCTTTATAAAGAAGTTTGAAACAAAAGTACAGTGTTCGCAGTACATAGATTTGTGCTGCAAAAACAGATGAATAGCTCATATACTGTAAATACAATGGCTGTTATGACAAAACGGGCATTTTCTTGATCATGGTATTTGACTAATTTGTTGATGTACTGTTAAATTTATGCTTAATTTTAGTAATTTGGTCTTAAGCTAAGCAGTGACAAACAAAAAAGTATAAGCTGTTTGTATTTTGAGTTTTTTCACTTGTTTCTTTGGAGATATTTGCATGGAGATAAGAGTGAAATATCTACAACTATGATGTATAAATCAATTGCTTTACTTTCCAGCTATCCTAAACCATCATGATAGCCTGGCCAGCTATCAAAAGAATAAGATTTTTTATCATAAAGTGTGGAAATGATAGTGTTAGCTCTCTTATTATTAATCTATAATTAAAATTAAAATCTCAATTTCCTTTTAGCAGCCAAATGATGAAGAGAGCCTAAAACTGAAAGCAAAAAGGTGGATGAGATGTTATACTAGAAGTGTTTCAATCCAAAAACAACCTTGTAAAATGCAAATTTGAGGAAATACAATGTTCTAGTAACTATGTATTTTATATGTGGTCATGTGGTTTAATATTTTTAAATATTTCTGATATAAAAATAATAATCTATAAAAAGGTAATTTTATGATTGACTTAACATTTTCTCATTATCCAATCTCCTCTTTTCCTAATTACATGCTGTCTTTTTCTCTCTTTTTTCTTCTTTTTCTAAAAGGAACAATGATGTTTGGTGCTAAAGATAGATGAGACGTGTTCCAATTTCATCATGATCCATTAAGTTCAGAAAAGCAAAAAAGAAAAATAAAAAAAGAGCCTTCGTACATATATTAAGCAATAAAAAGTATCCATGCATGTCATAGAAGTTTCTTAATCTTTGTACTTTGTCTGGAAAGTAGAGGAGGGAAAATAATAGTGGAAAGAAAAAAAATGATGAGGAATTAGTTTTTACCGTATCAGTTTGGTTTTAAGCGTAACCGATGAAATTTTATGAACTCGATTCAAACTAAATAATAAATTTTATTCAAATTGACTAACCCAATAAATCAAATCTCTCTTGAAAAGTTTACCAAATTGAATTGAAATGGATCAGTTTGGTTTAATCAATAGTTTTGTACACACCCTAGGTATTTGGATAATTTCATAAAAACAGTGTGGATTCTTTTCTCTTTTTGTTTTTGAGCATTGGAGAAGAGAATTTTTTAATATGGGTCTATTGTCAAATTGTAAGTGAACTTACAATAAGACATAGGGGTGCGGATTCTTTTCTATTGACAATTATCTTATAGGCAAAATGATAGTAGTTAATCAGTTATACAACTATTAGCCCCTGAAAAAAACCTAGCCAGAAAACGATAATTAGCCTCATATGCTATAAGCCCAAGCCCAAGCCCATCCATAAACTAGCCCTCAAACTTCATACAGAGAAGGTAAAAAAACGTTCAACAATTTTTCAAAGCTTGTTAACATTTCTTTTTATTGCCTTTGATGACATTTTGGGTTTAGCATTTATTTCAAAAATCAAACTAATAATGTTGAGTAAAAAATATTTATTTAAAATATCAACAATAAAAAACATAAGTGAATGAGAACTATCAAGAAAAAGAAAACAACATAGGCCAAGCTATTATTGTTTACAGTCAAAAGAGGGGTTAATTGATTTTTTTTTTTTTTTTGGAAAATTTTTAAAAATATATCATGTATTTGTCTAAATTAATCCATAAATATACATGATATATTTAAGTTATTTGTGTTTTTAATCTCTCTTTCTTCGAAAAATTAAATATTGACTCCGAAAACTATAATTTTAACAAGCATATAAATTGAATTGGACGAAAGGTACCATATGTGGTATGTTTTGAATTATGTGGCCAATACAATGAAATGTTTCCATTGATAATGGATGATGCAAGCAAAAAGTTTGATTAAAGGTGAATTGGGAACTTTCTATAATCCAACATTGTTTGTGTTAATATCAAAATGATTGCTCTTAGGAATTTAAAAGTTCAATCATATAGTATAGATCCTACAATTGGGTGTTGTTGGGCAAAATGTTGGTAGTCCACTCAATGATGATGGCATTTCATTTCTCCCAACCAAAAGAATTCAAAGATGCTCCTATGAATCTCAACTAACACCAATTGTGAAATTATCAATTTTGGTTATATAAATATAAAGGTAATGGCTATTGGCTCAAGTTGATCCAGGATCATTAAGTGTAAAATATCTAATTTATTCTCATATAGTCATGTAAAATGTCATTTACATCGTCATTGAAAATTGATAGATTTTAAACAGATTTAAAATTTAAATTTCAAATCTGTTTCTCTTTTTATTAAATAACTCTAGATAAAATAGCAAGTAGGTTACATTCTCCTCACGTGCTACTCGTTTTTTTTTTTTTCTTCATAAAGGAGGGCTAGAGACCCAGATTACACATTAACTACTCTAGGGAAAAAAACTCCAACTTGATCAGCATCAACCCATTTACGAGCTTCCCTTGGAGGTCGTTCACTCACCACATGAAATCCTCGTGGACACCTCAATGCCTTATTGGCAAGGCGGTCAGCTAAACAATTGGCTTCTCGGTAAATGCCTACTACGAAATATTCACCTCCAATAGACGTGGTAGACTTCTGTTTTACTATTATTAATAATTGTTTTCCTTTCATTTTTTTTATTTTTATTTAATAAATATATGTACATATTTGCATCGTAAAAAAAAGTTTCATTGCCCTCTTAATTCTTTATAAACATTTTCCTCTTCCTACAGTGGACGCTTATTGCAGCAAAAAAAAAAAAAAGGTTTATGTAGTTTTTCATGGAATAGAGCTTGGGATAGATAGTGCGACATAAATATTCAAAAGGCCAATTCAATTACTCTAACTAAACATTAGTCTATTGTTAGTATTATCAACTTTTATTAGTCTTTTGAGTAACATAGATAATGTGAGCTTACAAAATAAGTATATGTTTGCTCTGTTGCATGAAGAATTCAAACGATGGATTAACTTGTATTGTCCATCTAATTCGATTAGTTAATTGAAAAGGTTGAAAGTATAATACGTATAAGTCGTTTTAAAGCCAATTACGGTAGTAATGTAGATAGTACGATATAGATATTGAAAAGATTAATTCAATTACTCCACGATAATTTATTGGATAGCATAATTTAAGTTGTATATATAGTATGCTCACCAAACTTATGTAATGGAAGATTGTAGTAGATTTTTAAAATTTTTGTTAAATGGACAAATGATTTAATAGCATAATCTACTGATTATATAGTTTGAATGATTTAGATACAAATAATTGTGTCATGTCCTTTCATAACATATTTTTATATATTTTAATTTTGTATGGCATATAATACAAATGTGTTATATTAATTATGGTTCATTAATACCCACAGCAAATGTTATATATTAGTTGTTTGGGTAAATAATGAATGGATGAAGGCTCTTAGCTTGGATGGTACATGCACAGGTCACCTGACTTGGTTTTAGGGATTGGTCCTAGTCCTAGGATTGATTTTTCTGTGTTATTTTAATATATAGAGAAAATTCTTCATAATCTTTTATTGAATTAGTTTAGGAGACAACTCACTTGCTAATTATTGTTTTGGCAAAAACATTTAATGCATTAATGATGAGCTATTAGCGTTAATCTTTTTTTCTTATGGCATTAGTAATGATGACTTTACTTCTCTCCAAAACTCATCTACTTTCCCTTCAATTTATCCCTCCAAAATCACCCAAGGCTATAAGTGTCTTTTTGGATGCCATCATCCAGGATCATTATGAGTTATTTAGCACTACCCTAGGTATAATTGTACTACCTCTGTTTCATGATACTTGTCATATTTGAGAAAATAATTTGTTTTAAATACTTGCCACGTTTGTAGTTTCAAGGAGTAATAAATCTTTTTTTTTTTCGTGTTTACTCTTTACATATGACCAATAATTATTATTTCAATTCAATGGTTTTCTAAGAGAATTAGTATTAAATTAAAAATAGTATAAGCAATTTATGCATTTGGCCTGTGCGAAATTAAAATGGATTTCAATTTTATTTCATGTTTAATTAATAGTCAAAAAATTAAGTAGTGGATTGGCGGTATCCCATGAATGAAACTATGCATGAAAATGAGATCAAAACCTAGATAGTGGCATTCGTGCTCTTATGCATGTATCTACAATGGTTGATGTGCCCCATTCAAGAACTTAAAAGGCCACGAAGGTTGGCAAAGACTTGTAAATTTGTTTACATCAATTATTGCCAATTGTAGTTGAAACATGAGGGAAGGAAATGTCAAGTTTTCAGTTTTTAATTTGTAAATTATTAAATAGACACTCAAATATCACAATATTAGAGTTTTACAAAATTAATTTTTTTGAGTCGAATCAAAATTAGTGATTAATAGTATTGAGATATTCTCTTTTTTCTTGTTATCCTTCAATTTTATAATTAATCTGTCCTTGTATTTTAAAAAATGCACTAGTTTATCTCTATAGTTTAGATCTGTTGATGGTTCAAATCTCAAATAATAGACAAAAGGATAATTTTGTTTAATGGAAAGAAACTACAAAGATTAGATAGTGTAATTTTTTAAATATAAGAACAAAATAGTTAATTAAATCGTATTTTTTTCAAAAAGAAATTATACATCAACGAGTTTTGACTTAGAAGTATTAGAGGCATCTCCAAAATTATTATGATATATCTCGAATTCAAAATCCAATCCAAGACAAAGTATAAAAAAGAAAGAGAAAATGAAAAAAAAAAAAGAAATATAATCCCCTAATTATAGCTAAGTTAATAGTACACATAACCAACCTAATTAATTGGAAATTACTAATTATTAGAATACTTGAACTCTAAAATTTATACATGGATTTGATTAAGTGGAGTTATGAAACATGAACTTCTGAATGGCTTCAATCACTTGAAAAGCAGATTCAGAGTAAGGATTATTTGTGAAGAAACCATGCTCCTTTCCCTCAAATTCAAGGTAATCTATTTTCTTTCCCATTTGTGTCAACCTCTTTGCATAGTCCTTAACCCTATCTTTCAATAGTTCATTGCTGCCTACCATCACCAACAGTGGATCAAGACCAACCTTTTCAAGATTCAAGCTCTCTGGTCCAAATGGGTTTGCCAATGGATGATCTCTACTTTCTCCAACAGGCATAGACAGCCTCCAAAATCTGCATATCATCAATATTAATTATTTTATGAGCTGTTAGTTACCGAACAGAGTCTAAATTTGACCTATTGAAATTAAAACATTTTTAAATGAGTAATTTTAAAGAAATATAATTTATTTATTTACCAATTAGTTTTATAAAAAAATTATTATTTTAATTTGTTGACATTAAAACATATTATTTTAATACCGACTATTTTAATTTAGTTTATTTAACAAATGAACCAATTTTTATGCTGAGGTAATCAATTAGATTATTAGATAAAGCATAAGTTAAGTGCACCTAAGCATGTGTTTCATGTAAAAGTTGCTTCAATTATTGAATTACTTTTCATAAGATAAGAGTAAGATTAAATAATATTGGAGAAGGCACTACCTATCTCATATACATGTTGGACAAGCCACTAACTCTTAAATTGTGAACTTTGGCTCCTAATGTCAAAACAAGCAATTAAAATAATACCCTAACACAACTTAATTATTTTGAGCAACTATTTCAAAGTGCATCTAAAAATATTTATATTATATGATTAGAAACAGATATGATTTTTACATTTTGATGTATGATTTTTATATCTTAGTATATATAATTATAATAATTTGAATTTTCTAATCCTAAACTTTTATCTTTCCCCTTACTAAATTATTAATTCTATCCATTGCCCCAAATGTTTTGGATCCATCGACAAACATAATGCAATCAAATGAATTTAAGTGTAAACTTACAATGCAAATTATGCTTATCGCTCTGCCAAGTAGCCTTAAATTTGAAATCGAGTATGGAAAAGATAAATTTTGATTATTGTTATTTTTCTTAGTATTGAAAAATCAAAGGTTCCAAGTTGAATCTATCGTCTAAGTCATACATTCATTTATAATTAGACTATGTTTTGGTGTACAATTTATTACGGCGATGAGAAAAATGAAAAAAAAAAGGTGATTTGATATAGTATTTTGATTAATTAAATTACAAAAAATGTGGATATTTTTAGACTCCATGGAGAGATTACAATTAAGATAAGGTAGGGTTGTAAATGAGTCGAGTTGCTTGAGACTCGACTAGATAAAAGCTCGTTCGAGCTTGTTCAATAAGCTTATCGAGCCGAATTATTGAGCTCATAAACGAACCGAGCTCGAACTTAGCTATTTTTAAATGAGCCGAGCTCAAGTTTAGATTTCTAAGATTAGAACGGGCTTGAGTATATTCTTATCGAGCGAGCTCGAGCTCATCAAAGCTTTGATCAACTCGTTTACAGCCCTAAGATAAGGAATTGAATGTAGACATGCTCAATTAATCTAATCTGTTTAATTATAGATAAGGAGTAAAATTTGAAGGTGAGATGAGAATACGTGAAGGAAAGAAAGAAGTTGACCAGTGGCTTGACTTATTTAGGACGGACGGTAGGACCCAAAAAAAGAAACCAAAAATGAGAGGACTAAGTTGTCTGTTCCTTTATATATATATATATATATATATATATATTATATATATATTATATAATAAAATATATATATATATATATATATAATAAAAGGTTGCATATAAGAAAACCATTTTAGAAAACAAACAAAAATCATTTTTTCAAGTTTGTTGGTATATTATTTCTTGAAAATTGGAAAATAAAAATTAAAGACAAAAATAACAGCCACTATTATTTGGTGACCCTATTGCTTGTTGTTTAGATTGCTCCCCAAATAATAAGCTATCTATCTATTTATCTATCTATGCGATATATAAAAGTAAAAATAAGAGAGGAATAATAAGATTTTTTTATATTATTTTTATAAAATTTAAGATATTTTAAAATAATTAAGTTAATAAAAAAAAGAATAAATATATACTATATATATATAATTTGATTGATATATAATTTGATTGGATATTTTTTTAACATTTTTAATAAATAAATACAAGTAGATAATTAAGCATTTGAAAATTTAAAATATTATTATTATTATTATCTTGTTACGTCTAATTATATTTTATTTCATTATATTATGCTTTGTGTCCTATTTTGGCCCCCATTGATTAATATACAAAGTGATTACCTTCACAAGCTATAAAGCAAAATAATGCCATATTACATGTGCAATTGTACTCACAAAATAGTTTTATTAATTGTTTGTGACACGTCGGCCGATAAGAAATTTACAGACAAAATTATTTCTGTCAATAAATTTTAACTTCAAACATAATATTATTATAAATTTTAATTTATAATTATTCTTTCCTTAAAAAATATTAAGGATTTAATTTTCATGTGAAGTGAGGCCAAGGAACAAGTGGCACCACCGTTGTGTACGGACCTAAAGGCAAAGCACTATCAATCTCTTTTAAGTGAAATGGATGTGGTCCAAAAGAAAAGAAACCCATCATAGTATATGTGTGAGAAACGTTGAAAATTTTTAATATTTTCTTTATAGTTTTCCTTAAAAAAAAAAAAAAAAAAAAATTAAAAAAAAAAAAAAAAAAAAAGTCTTGTCATTTTCTATTGATAAAATTTTAGGGTTGTCTCATTAATGGAAAGAATTAAAGAGTAAAAAAAAAAAAAAAAAAAAAGTCTTTGTCATTTTCCTATGATAAAATTAGGGTTGTCCATTAATGAAGATTAAAGAAAACCCGTATCTTTTGAGTCTGACCTTTGATTATACTCCTTATTATATTGCAATATATGCTCATCTAATCGACTAGATAAGACTAATTAATTTCTTCCCCTAATCACAGATAAGACCAACCCAATATTAAACGGGAGGTGTAATTCTTCTCGAGAGCTATAGAACATGATATATTTATCAAAAATCGAACTTGTAGTTTTGCTTTTATAAAATTTAAGGTCGCTTATTACTTTAATCAATTCTTTATTAGTTGTAAGTCCTGAGCGTTTAAAAACAAAGAAAAAAGCAATTGTTTCCCTTATATTACATTTGATTTTGCCATTAATCACAATTATATATAAATATATTTTCTATATCTCAAATCCCCGTCCCAAATTATTTAAGATAAAAATAATTTCCCTCCACCAATAAAATTTTTTTAATTGATATTTTATATAATGTTATTAATTTCTAAAGTGCTTACTGTTTTAGTTGAAAAAAAAAAAAACACAGTGGAATAATTTTGAAAAACTGTAGAGGCCTTTCTTTCCTGACGTTATCACTATGTTTAGGGGTTTTTACGAATGAGGGGAAATAAAAGACCATGGGATAGGAAAAGAAAGTATAAGAAAGGTTGTGTAATATTTTGGTATTTGGATATTTTGAAAAAGATGAAAAATAAAATTAAATACTTTTTTTATGTTAGATAACAATTTCTTCCTGTCTATTAGGATGTACTTTTAATAGGAATTTTCTTCATCCACAAAGATGAAACACTCGATCTCTTATTAAGATATCTAAGTATCTAGATATCTTTAAATATAAATACGACCGTGACACATATTAAAAAAGGCCAGGTACATATATTACTTTGATTCATAAACTATATAGTTAACTAAAATTATACATTGCACTATTAATTAAATTTTTGCTTTTGACTTATTGAATTTATTTTAGATTAATTTTTAAATTGAGATTTTAAACTCACAATCTTATAATTTTAAAAGCATCTTTACTATTATTGATTAAAAAATTATCTGACAGCTTTTTTTTTTTTTGAAAATATTTTTCTTTAGGAACTTAGAAACACTTAATTAATTAGTCCATCAATTAATGTATAATAAAACAAATAAGATATGCAGTTGGTGAAATATAAAATGTGAAAATGCAATAGATCAAATAAAAATTGAAGGGTGCAATGAGTATTTCCTAATTCATTCAAGAATATATTTATATATACATTTGTCCAAGTAAAAAAAAAAATGAAACTGTAAATGAATTATTATTATTACTAATTAAGAGATAGTTCCATGGGACAACAGAATGAGAAGGTTTTGGAATGTATTAAAGTTCTATTTGGTGAAATAATAATGGAATATAATATAATATATATAATATATATTAAAATATATTTAATTACGTTACACTATATTTTATTATAATATAATTCACAGAACAAAAATGTAAAAAATTTCAAATATAAATATATTTTAGCAAAATATATTTAGAAAGCATGGGGGATGTGATGTGATTTGATTATTATTACACAAATGTTTACTTTATAGTGTAAAATGAGAAGGAAAATAGAATTTTGACAATAAAAAAAAAAAAAAGTATTGCATGAAGAAAAAATAATGGGGGAGAGAGAGAGATTAAAATTTAACAGTACCTGTCTAGTACATCAAGATTCAGAAACTGTTCACTAGGTCCTTCCTCAGACATCGTCCTAGCAAGTCCACCAAAAAATGGCGCCAACAGAATATAACCTCGTACTCGAACCGGAGCCAACCCGTTTGAACCGGCACCGAACCGAACCGCCAAGTGGTGTGCAATATTCCCACCAGAAGAATCACCTATTACAAAAACCTGGTCAAAGTCAACATCATCATTACTTAACCATGCATCTCCATTTCCACTCTCACTCAAAGCTTGATTTCGCAGCCACTGCATGGCACTGACTGCATCGTCTATGGCTGCCGGCAGCCTATGCTCCGGCGCCAAACGGTAGTCTATAGAGATAACCAGAGCTTTTAGGCCAGAAGCTAGACGCAAACAGCAGTTATGACAGTTAGGCCATAAACGAGAGCCTACACAGAAACCACCGCCATGGATAAATAATATTATCGGAAGTTTTTTATTTTTATCGTTTGAAGATGGTGATGGTAGGGAAGTGGGTTTATAGAGACGAAGAGAAAGATTATGATTTTTATCAAAGAGAGAGTCTTTGATGAGGATAGAGTTGTCATTAATTACTGGCAAATTGAAATTTATAGATTTAGGCCTAAAAATGGAGCCATCACTAAAGAGTTGAAGAACACCCATGCAATCTTCTACTATATGGGGAAGAGAACCCATGTTTTGAATTTTGTTTTGGTTTTTATGTTTTGGAGATATGGTTATTGGCTATGGAGGTGAAGAGGGTTTATATAGACAAGAGAAGGGAAGAGTGGTGATGGGTAAAAGGGTAATTTGGTAATTTGATAGGGATATTAATGGAAGATGGTGGCTAAAGTTAGTGGCATATGCCCTCATGGTTATTGGTTCATCTTATTGTGTTGAACAAGGACCATAGATAAGGTTATTGTGTGGATGTGGGCAATGTATTAATTGTCACATTTCTACTTTTCTCGTAAAATCATTCAAGTTGTCTAATTTATAAAAAAAAAATATTAAATAAATTGATTATATTAACCTTATTTATAATAAAAAGAGAGTTTTTAAAAATTATAGCAATTAATATTCATCATTTAATAATTTAGAGTAGGATTAGTGGTTTTATATAATTTATTAGCCTTCATTTGAATCAATCCGCATACAATCTTCTAATTTATTACTTTCTTTATACTAAAAGTATAAATTTTTGTAGGACGATTAAGAAAGTAATTAATTTTTCTAAATTATACTATCTTTGTTACATAATACTTGTTACATTTGAAATTTCACATCCCTTAAGAAAATCATTAAATTTGTCTAAATTACAATAAATTATTGAGTAAATTGACTATCCCTTAAGAAAATCATTAAATTTTGTTAAAATGTACAATTAAATTATGAGTAAAATTGGACTATTATTTATTTCATTAATTTAATACTAATTCTCTAAGAATAACCATTAACCTATATTATTCTTAATTTAATACTAATTCTCTAAGAAAACCATTAAATTAAAGTAATAATTATTGATCATATACAAAGAGTAAATATAAAAAAAAAGATTTATTACTCATTGAAACCACAAATGGGACAAGTATTTTGGAATAAACTATTTTCTCAAATGTGATAAGTATTATAGAACAAATGTAGTAATAAAATCAATTAAATTATCCTTTATTCACGTCATTACTCTTATCTTACATCATAAATTGTATCTAAGGCTTAAATTGGAAAAGATTATTTATTACTCTTTAAAATACTCAATATGATTTATATTTTGTGACAAAACAATCAGCGTAAAATGACTTATATTTTGAGATGGAGGGAATATTTTTAAACTGCCTTATATTTTGAGAGTAGTTATTTGTTACTCCTTTCAAAAATAGTTACTCCTTCTGTCCTAAAATATAAGGCGTTTTGAGTATTTTAAGGAATAATAAATAATATTTTTTCAATGTTACCCTTATTTATATTAGATATAATAAATGTTTTTACAAGTAATAATTAGTTTTGACATAAATGATAATTTGGTCAAATTATATTTGGTTTTATTATAATCTAGCAGAGTTAATTGCTTCTTTTAATTTTATGTAAAAATCTTAAACGACTTATATTTTGGGATATAGAGAGTATTTATTACTATATTCATCTATAAATATAAGTCTTTTAAGATTATTGCACATTAATTAAGAAAATAATTAATTCTCTTAAACTATATTCATTCTGTCCATAAATGTAAATCATGTTAGATTTTTTTTTGTTTATAAACTTAAGTCATTTTGAGAATATTAAAGAGTAATTAATAAATTCTTTTTAATTTTATCCTTATACATATGAAAGACATTAAATATTTCTCCAATTTTTAAAAATTATGTTTTGTCAAATTAATGATGCGAGATAAAAGGTAACTTTAGCCAAATTAATGAATATTTTGTTATAATTTAAGAGAATCAATTGTTTTCTTATTCACCATATAAAAACCTTAAACGACTTATATTCATAGACTATGATTTATATTTGTGAATAAAGGGAATATACCTTAAATGCCTTATGTTTATGAACGATGAATTATGTTTGAGGATAAATTTGATTAAATTACCTTTTAGAAAATATAAAGATAATTATTACATTTAATATAAATAAAAGTGCAATTGGAAAAAATATAATTATTCTAATATGTTTTTAAAACTGACTTATATTTATGGATAAAAGAATTACTCTAAAACAATTATATTTTTAGACACTGACGGTGCTTATTTTATTAGTGTCATGGTGTCAGAACGTCGGAGCCTTTGGCACGCGTGTGGTGCCTAGACTTATCTCATAACCTAGGCCAACCATGCATAATCGAAGGGTCTTTGCATCCTTTCCGACTGTAGGACTCATCTAGCAATGCATATCTAAGGATCTCACACAACTGTATATGGGCTCAATGCCTTCGGGCATCCCAGGCAGCATAGTCCTGCCTATACTGAAACCTTCACTTCAGGAGAGATGCGCACTATAGGCCCTCGGCCCTATAGTGTCCATAGAGCTCCTTCTCTGTGGAGACATCAGTCCCTCTTAGTAGAACATGATGCTTGCATCGTAGCTCACTAGGGCCCGGTCCCACATATCGGCCCCGGGGCGGCAGAGAGCATTACACCTGGTTTCCCCTCTCATATTCTTGGTCCAAATGTCATTCAACATGCTATTCTTGTCTCCAATAGCCTTACTTCGTCTATAGAGTCACCATGGTATGGCACCACAGGTAGGGATGCTAGACTCACACGCCTACAATTAGAAATTACAATTGCAAATCCAAATAAAGTTGTACGGTTTGGATTTTGAATTGTCCTACTAAAGTGGATGTAACATCCTCTTGAGTTGAGTCGGGTTGAATCAAACCTGGTTGGGGTAGAATGGATGATAAGTGGACTTATTTGCATGGAAAGTTTAGGGGATGATAAGTGGAACTTATTTGCAATTGGAAAGATTTAGGACTTATATTGCCTCCAAAAACATATAGCTTGGGGTAGTAAGTTGTAGCCTTCTGTATTACTCTTGAGGTACCCAATTAGAGAGTTTTTCACAGCCAAATCACTTCTCTTAGAGTCTACTCGTTCCTATCATTTTATCATTTTCACTTTCCTATTTTCACGTTTTTCATTTTCTTCTTACGTTTCCCTTCCATTTCCTTGCACTTCTCATGCACGTTACGCAGTAAGTCCACGCCAAGTAAGTAGAATTCCTTGAAGTTATATGTTACTCACTCTTTAATTGAGTTATATTGGAGATGAGTTATGAGAGTTCTTGTGTATAGGAGAAGAAAGTTCAAAAGTAGCAGAAAAGAGAAGCTAAAACAGAGTCCCAGCTTTTTGAAAATAAGGTTTGATATCTCTTGTTATTTCCCATGTTCTTTGCATGAAAAATTGTATGAAAAATTGTGTGGAGTGTTGCTCAACGAAGACATATGTTGCTTATGTGGTAGTGAGAGGATTGAAAATGATGTGAAAACAGGGGATGGATGATGGTTTAGATGAATTCCAGAGTTTGCTGGATAAATTTTACCAAAGCAACTTCAATCTTGATTTTGACTCCCAAGTAAATTGATGACTTAGGAATTGTCATTAGAAGAGTTATTGTTCCTCTATTGTGTTATTCTTTACGTTGGGCTTTTTGAATCACTTAATTTGAAGTTGTATATTTGAGATGTATGGCCAAAAGAACTACTAGACTGCGCAACTCTGGAAACACGTGCGCGCCGCCGCGCGGTCTGAAAGCAAGTCCGCGCTTCAGCGATTTCACAATGCTGCGGTGCGCTGACTTTGGCCAAAAACTCTTTGACTTCTCAAATGGCACATGCTTCGCGCTTTCGCTGACTTTCACATGCGCGTGCGACTTGCCAAAACTCTCTGGCGACTTGAGTCAGGTAGCTCTCTGACTCTCAATTGCACAACTCGCGTTCGCGAGGATCACATGCGCGGTCGCGACTTTGGCCAAAAACTCTCTGACTCTCAGTTTGCGCATGTCGCGCTCGCGAATCACACAAGCGCGCTCGCGACTTCGTCTCGCGCTCGAGACTTGTGCTGCGCGGTCGCGACTTGAGCCAGAAAACTCTCTGACCTCTCTGACTCTCAATTGCACTTTGCGCGCTCGCAAGGTTTGAAGACGCGCTCGCGACTTCTCCTTGGGAAGCATCTCGCGCTCGCGACTTGTCCCTGTGCGCTCGCGACTTGTGGTTTCATGCATTTTGGACTTCATTTTCCATACAATTACATTCCTTTGCTCAACATACATGCATCCAATCATTGTAAAACAAAAATATAATATAAGAACATGGATTCAAACAACATGTAAGCAAATTTTGGTATCAGAGCAAATCAATATGATGAACTATGACGTTGTGAAACCATTTATGTGCTATTGTGTTACATTGTTGACATGCTAATCTTAAGCTCCATTGAGGTTAGGTGTAGAAACCATGTAGATATAGGCTATGTCCGCGTTACATAGAAATAGACAGATCTGCCCCCATAAACAGTTTGGAACTCCGGCACAGGCCGTTTGAGTGGATAGTGATTAACCGTGCGGTGCAAATCCGTTAGGGGGCACCAAACGGACAATATGGCATAAGGCGAATCCGGTTCGAGGCCTATGCATGTACAGTTTCATTCCAGTTTTCTACAGTTTATCTTATTCAACTGTCGGTTCTACTGATAACCTTATGTGAGCCATACATATATATTTTAACTTGCTATTGCATGAATCAGACAGTAAATATAAACAGTAATGAAAGATCATCAAGGTGAAATGAAGCCGTATGTTATCTGTGATGATTATATGTACTTACATAATTCTTTCTGCATATATGTGTGCTTAATTATGTCTTTCTATATTGAGATATCCACTGGGCTTGTATAGCTCAGCGAGTTACATGTTTAACTCGCAGGTTTTTTTTTGAGACTGGTCTAGAGAGCGTCAGCTTACAACTGCAGCAGTTCATCTGTTGAAGACACAGTCTTCAGGGTAGCTACTCATTTTGATGTGTATCTTTTTATTTTCCTTTCATGGCATGTACAGGGCACACAGTTGGGCCCATTTCATTTTGTAAACTAGTATCATGTTATGTATATATTCATTACATTATTAATGTAAACAACTTTGTTAACGGCAAATCGGTATATATATATATAAATATTCAGTATTAATGATATCTTAGCACTGTCTAAATCATACAGGTCAACCAGTGGTTGTAGCATCTCGACTCGGTTTCA